GGAATTTTGGTTAGGACAGGTAGAGGAAAAAGGACGCCTTGCTAGAAGGAGACTATGGTGGGGGAACCAGACTTCCGGTCAGCAGAGGAAAAAGGATGCTGCACTAGGAGACTTTATCAGCTCCAGAACTGAACAGGGAACTTTCAGTTAGGACCTTTGTGGCTCTTTGAGTGTTTAAGGTTGCTGACCCCTGTTCAAGTCCCACTTCAGGCATGAAATCTGGCTGGGTGAGTTTGGGCCAGTCCTTCCCTCTCAACCCAATCTACCTCAGGGTTGAAATGGAGAAAAATAAGGCGAGAAGGAGTATTAGTTATGTTTGCTACCTTGACTTATTTATAAAAATAATAAAGCTGGGATGTAAATAAATAAATAAATAAATAAACAAATATATGAATAAAGAGATCCCACAACACATTTTTATGAGGCTTCTTGTCAGAATAATACATTCAATTCCTAGCCCCAACAATGGAAGGTAGTTGGGTGAGCAAAAAAACATGAACATAGTGGTCATACTTTAGTACTGCCTTCATTTTCATGTCCTTGGTGCTTTAAACACCCACTTAACAAATTTCAGAAATAATATCATATTTTTCTGCCTCTTGTTCCTTTAATTTAGTGACATCCTTCAAAATAAATTAGCTAGGAGCTCCTGAGCTGGGTCTGAACAAATTGTCCTTTCTTTAGTATTAATTCTACTTGATTCATCCTTCAGAACCAACTTCAAAATTCCCACCATCTTCAGGACAGCTTCAGAAATAGCACATTTCCATTCAAATATCCTTGAAAAATAATTAAACGTGTCTCTTTCAAAATTCATGGTCTAATTCATGTGGCCTGATGAATACCAAAGGGCAACACATAACAAAGATACTGATGGGCATTCATTATACTTTATATGACCTGCATACTATGGACCCCTCTATTTAATACCTCTAAGAAAGTTTAAGCTACAAGGTAGCTGCTTGTCTTAAATGAGAATGTAATGATTGCATATTAAGTTGAACAGCCTTCATAAATGGCTGAAGTATGCCCAAACAAAAAGCGTATAGAAACTAAACCATGCACAAAATAAGATGCACTAGAAAACCAGAAAGTATTCAATATCAGGGGGAAAATGTACTCTTTAATTGGACAAGACAATATATTATTTTCCCTAAGAAGCAGGTTTTCTGCTTTGGCAAAAGGAGACAAGTAAACTACTATGTAAGAACATCTAAACAAATATTTAGAATATATAAATTCTACTTAGGTTCTAGAATCCAATGACGCCCATAACTTGCAAATAAAATTAAGGTGATTTTGCTGGTTTTATTTGAAATTTGGAGTGCTTACTCAAGTGGTTACTTAGATCATTTCCCAAATAAGTGCATTATTTATGTGTTTAATGCTAAGCCTGCATTATTTTAAAGGGAAACTTCTTAAAACAATCCTCACACAATCCAGAAACAGATAATCCTTCAAAGGATTAATATCTTCAAGCCATTTCCCCTAAGAGCTTGTCCTGACTAGACAACTTACTAAAGAACTCCAGGGAAGTGGGGGAAAACCCTTATTGGGAACCTTCTCAGAACAAATCCAGGGGTTTAAGGCTGATAGGAATAATAGTTGCAATATTGTTGCAATGATGGAAGCCTTCCATCATGCACACAATGTGAGGCAAATCCATCGACAGTCTTAATATTTGTGGAGAGTGACTTGTCACCTTCTAATAGAGCCCAAAAGTTCTGGAACATTATTAAGAATGGCCTTAATAATGGCCAGAAGGGGAGGGAGAAAGGGAAAGGAAGAAGGAACATAAGCCTTATAGACTGCTTCTGGCACCCAACCAATTTTGCTTGATAAAGTTGAGTCTGACTTAGGATCAGCCAAATGAAAATGCAGTATGAAAGGAAGACTGAGTCAAAGCTTCTACTGAAAAGAATATAGGATGTAATTTGTATGTGAAATTCTGTGATCAAGGTCAGCATATTATAGGGAATTGCCACAATAAGATTAATATTGCTTTACAACTTCCACAGAGAATATTGTTGGCCAATGCATCCTGAGCATTAATGGCACAGTGATTAGAATGCACTATTGCAGGCTAACTCTGCCCACTTCCAGGAGCTTAATCCTGACCGGCTCAAGGTTGACTCAACCTTCCAGCCTTTGGAAGTTGGTAAAATGAGGACCCAGATGGTTGGGGGCAATATGCTGACTCTGTAAACCACTTAGAGAGGGTTATAAAGCACTGTTCTGACCTAGGCTTCCTGAGACTGTAAAAATCACACACTTAGTCCCAAAAACCCTCTTTTTATTAAAACGGCTGTGAATTATGTTCATTCACAGCCTGTAATGAGTCACCAACAGTTTGTGAAGAGTCCAACTGAAGTCTACCACAGTCCTTCAGGGTAAGGCTGATAAGCACCCACCTTTATCTTCCTTGAAATGCTTCCAGAGACCTAACTGCCAATTAGTTTTGCAAGGCCAAATGGAACACAGAGTCAAAACAGAGCTTCAGAGTTTAAACTGACCAGAACAAAGTTACTTCCTGCAAAGGCTCACACCCATTTTATCCTCTTTTATTTTTTATGGGAGGGGCCAATTATCTCCAAGCCTTACTCCCGAATCGCCCTTTTTGTCATACTTGTTCTCTGGCAGCTCTGCACATGCGTGCACTGGGAACAGTCTCCCCTTGTTCCTCTGCCTCACTGATGTCAGACTCCAGAGGCTCCGGAGGCAGTACATAACTCCCAGATGGCTCTGGCCCCCTCTCTGCCTCCAACACTGAGCCCTCATCTGAGCCTTCCCCAGACTCCAGGACTGGCCCATGTTCCCCCCTCCCCCAACCTCCTTACTGTCTGACTCTGCTGCCAGCTCTGCAGGCCACCGGTGTACCACAACAAGCATTGTGAAGCGGTACATAAGCCTAAATGCTATTGTTAAGTGCTATTGAAATTACCCAGCCCAAGTGCTGCCTTGACTTCATTATATTATGCCATCCTGTGGCCATGGGTGGTGAGGCTCAGAGCCAGATGGTGTTTCAAGCAGATACGTTTGCTATGATGAAATGGTCAGTTGACATTGTCACAGATGTTGGCACAAATTTTATGGTAGGAGTTGTAGTAAAACTGTTAGTACGTTGTGTTGTAATATTGTTATACTGTAATAATGTAATATCATTATATTGCAACAAAACCTGGTTATGTTCCCCAACTTGAGGTGCTGAATATGTCAAGGGTCCCATTTCCTGACTTTATTGTCAACTGGTATCACAGCTACTGTTATTTATTGTGGATGTTTTTATTGTTCATTGTTGTTTTTAAATGTTTTAGTGCTTTAGTTGCAATCTATTTTTTGAACTGTAAGCCACCCAGTGTCATTGATTTAGGTGGGCAGCTATAAACATAGAATAAAGAAATAAAGAAACACACACACACACACACACACACACACACACCTTGGTGCCAGCTGTCTGTCCTGTACTATCATTAGATAAATAATTCAGGGGGAAAGTATAATTATTGTAACCATAAAGGAGAATAAAACAGAAAATTCAAAGACATTGTAACTGCATTGGAAAATGCCTTTATTGATGGAATGTTCATAATGCATTTTCAGAAAAATGTAATATATATATAGCATGGCACATATAGCATTCCCTAGATTCTCAAGGGGAAAAAACAGAAAATTGATGGCATAGTATCCCCCATCAGATCAAACCACAGAATATAATGAAGTGATTGAGTTAACAACATCTAATTATTTGATGGTGTTAATAGAATTCATTTTTAAAAAGACATTACGGTACATAAAGTTTTGTTCCAGGTTATATATCTAGCTGGAAAAATAATCACATAGCTATACTAATCCATTTGATCTGGGGAGAAGGAGGAATATAATCTCTCTTATTGCCATTGAAATTGTCAAATTCCCTATTTTGAAATTTGTCCAGAGAACAAAAAAAAGAGGCAAGCAGAAGTAAAATAGTAGTGGGAGTGCACAAAGAAGCATGTTGAAATATTGAGATGCACTCCAGTACTTGACATGATCTGGAAAGGGGTTGGGAATCATGGGAAGATGGACTATTTGCTACTCATTTTTTTTTAATGATGCCACATCCTCTTTCACACATGTCTAGAGCAGAAAGTTCTGCCTTTGTGCTTAGAGTGTTATTTAACGTTTTTAAAAACAATGTAGGTTCAGGCACTTAGTATATAGTAACTGAAAGATGCTAGTTTGGAGAAAGCTAGTTTATAGCAATGGTTATGTAGAGTACTAAACTGGCCAGATATGTTGCTAAGGAATAAATGTGAAGCTAAGAAACTTTTTGTCATGAAATAAAAATTCCAGATTATTAAGATTTGACACTGGAATTAGATAATGCTGGATGTCTGATCTGAAAAATGCCCACATCTTTTGAAGAAATCATGTTTTATTTCTTAAACCCAAAATAAAAAGGGCTTTTTGCCACTTCTAGCCTGAATTGAAGAACTGCTGTCACATAGATCAGGGCACATTCAGAGGCTTACTAGCTGCAGTGTTCATGGGTATGTGGCTGTCTCCTCTCACAAGTGGTTGAGAGAGATTGTGAGGACTCTGCATGTTACCCATATCGAATTTTACAAGAGAGGTGGGTGGTTCCCGAAGCTCACTTGGTTCCATATTGATGTCCGCAGTTGGTTCTACAAACATGCCACTTGTACCAGCATCTGGCTGTCTGAAGCCAGAGGGAGTTGGGTACAATTCACCTGGAATCTCACTCAGTCCATCAGTGGCTGTGGGGAAGACCTTCTGGATGCCTGCTGCCGTGCCTTCGGGATTGGCCTGGCCCACTGGAAGAAATCCATCTTGACCGTCAGGAGGGGGTTCAGCTTGGCCTGAAGGGAACATAGCTCCTTGCATGCCAGGAACGAGAAGCCCAGTGAAAAACTGTGAAGGTGACTGCCAAGGCAAAAAGAAAATAAGAGAATATGCATCAAAAAATTTTAAAAGAACTCATGGAGCACTTTGGACATTATAGAGAAAGACGGAAGAGAAAAGAATGGAAAGAGAGAGAATGTAGAGTAGTATTTCTTGTTTTTAACACCTCCATAAAAATGCAAGGAATTCAGCATTCTGGAAAACAGAATGCCGGATTCCATAGCCTAACCATATTTTTAAATCCAAAAGTATCCTGAACCCTAGCCCCACTTCAATAAGATGATAATCTTATTGAAAACATTCTTCACTTAAAGGGCTTCTCAGTCTAAATGAAAATTCTCAAGACAGAGAATTGGCTGGACAAAGCAACACCCTGAAAGATATGAAAGAAGTCTTGTTCATGTATAGTATTTTTAAATGAGCAGCCAAAGTTGCAGCAATTGTTTCTAGATTTACAGCCATCTATCTAAATTAGCTTCTGTAAAATTGTATACAAATCTGTATCATGTTTTGTCTTCCTGTTTTGTCACTTCAAACTGTAGTATAAACTCTAAAGCAGACCAAGAAGGAAGGGAGGGAGGGAGGGAGGGAGGGAGGGAAGAAAAAAAGGAAGGGAGGGAAGGAGAAAAAAGGAAGGAAGGAAGGCTTATTTTTTTTAATTAACCCAACTGAAATATCCTGTGAATTGGTGAGACCCTTGGTCCCCTAATGGCATTTTGTCTGACCCTGTGAAGAAGGATTAGAAGCTGTAAATCTATCACACAGTGTGAATGGTTTGGAATTGGGCTTATGATGATTCTGAATGATCCCATGAAAATAGAAATATATTAGTAAATTATTTACCATTTCCTCAGAGCTGAGCACTGCACCCTAGAACACCAATCAGAAAATGCGGGTTTGAGGGAGCAGAATGGAATAAATCAACATTAAAGGCATGGAGCAATGATTTCTAAAAGGTTTACAAAAATGATGATGATGATGATGATGATGATGATGATGATGATGATGATGATGATGATGATGATGATGATGATGATGATGATAATGCACAGTCTTATTACAATAGATACAGGGGTATCTATAGGTGTTCCAAAATCTACAGGATTATGGGCATGGAATAGTGATCCAAGCTCTACGCCTTTAATAATGGAGCCAAGCCCACCATCCTGCAGACCTTTTCACACACACAGACATCTCTTCAATAAGGCCTTTGTGATAGGCTAGGTCTGGAAACAGACACTACAAGAAATGCACAACTTTATCATCATTATTATTATTATTATTATTATTATTATTATTATTATTATTATTATTATTATTATTATTATTATTATTATTATATGAAATGTTAACAGGATATTGAAAGCCTGACAGTTTGTTTCTCCAGTTTTATACTAAACATAATCAAGACAGGGAAATCTGAATTTATTTCCTCATCACTTGCTATCTGTTCCACAAGCTCATATTTTTAAAAGGATTTTTCCTTCTCTGTACTTTTCCACATCCCCTTCTCATGGATGTTGTCTGGGGGAGAGCAATCTGTAGTTACACACAATCCTCCCACAGCCACATCCTAGAGAATATCCCAGCGTGAGTTAGGTTAAGATTTTTGGCCCTTTTGTTGGATTTTGCCTGATTCTGATTTTTTCGAAGAAAGCAATAGCAATAACACTAAGACCTATATATTGCTACACAGTGTTTTACAGCCCTCTCTAAGAAGTTTGCAGAGTCAGCTTATTGCCCCCAATAATCTGGGACTTCATTTTACCAACTTCAGAAGGATGGAAGGCTGAGTCAACCTTGGCCCAGTGAGCATTGAATCCTTGGCAGCCAGCAGAATTAGCCTGCAATACTACTGTCTCACCACTTTTTCCATTAAAAACCTTAAGCCCCTATCTTCCACAAAAAGGCCAATTATTTGCATAATTGAAAGACCCTCTAGAAGTGCTCTGTGGCCCAAATGCCTTTCCTAAAAGAACCTACATCCTCTTATTTTTTAATATAAAAATAATTGTTTTTGATAGTGCTAAATAGTTGTCACTGCTGTGATTTCATGAAATTAGTCCAAAGAGCACAAACATGTTAGTTCAATACTGCTTTGAAGTGGATTAGTGAAAGATATATAAATCCATTTCCTGTGAAACCAAGATATGAAATGGACTTCCACTTCAGTCAAGCCTATTAGCAACACTATTTAAGGTGCCCAAGTTCCTCATTTTTTAACGGAGTCCTGACCCTCCTGGAAGAAGATACCCTGCCAGATATGATCCTGAAGAAAAGAAGGCCATTGCATATTCTTCCCAAGTGTGTTTCACACATGATAGGAATCAGTGGTGGGTTCCTGCTGGTTTTACTACCGGTTCACAACATGTGCGCAACACGCTGAGCGTGCGTACACTGTTCAATGTAGATTGTCATTCACGCATGTGCAGAACAATTTACAGTGAACTGCGCATGTGCAGTCACTAAAAACAACATGGTGGTGACATCAGTGGCGGTGAGGGAACTGGTTTGGGGGCATGGCAAGCCTGGGTCGCTGCCGGTTCTGCGACCCAGGCAAAAATGCCATTACTGGTTCACCGAACCGGGAGCAACCCACCTCTGGTAGGAATGTGGGAGAAAGTTGTTTGATACTAAGCTTGGCCACTGTTCCATTTCATTCAGTCCCATTAAGATTAAAAAAAAGTTGGTTGCTCCAGATGTTTCAGAAAGATTGCTTTCCTAGACCCACTTGCAGATGCTTAGAAATTGAGACCTTGGGCATGGCAAAGCACCAAATTGCAAGAATAGCTGGATAGCAGTGATCAGGATCACAATTTGATCCATTTTTCTTTCATTGGAAAAGGGTTGAATTACATGATCTTTAAGGGAAACAGATTTCACAATTTATTCAAGCCCACTTCAGGCTATGGACATTCCCAATAAAGGATTGAATAAGCACTGCTGTTCCAGCGAAAACAAACCAGACATCCACTTCAAAAAAAAAAGCAAAACTATTCATTATGCAAAAAAAAAAAAAAAAGCCTGAAAATCTCAAACAGACTTTCTGTCTCACTTCTTACCTGTGGTCCCATCTGTGTAACTATAATTGGCAGCATCTGCAAGACAAGTAATAATAATTGCATGTATGTTATGCCTTTAGTTAACTACAGGTAAGACTGAAGAAGGAATTGGCTTTGGGGATAGTTTGTCTTTTATCTGTTCAGCTATTCAGTACTTGTAAAACATGCTTCTATTCTGACCTTGCAATCCTTTGGATCAGGGGTGGGTTTCTGCTGGTGTTACTGCCAGTTCAGTGCACGTGCATGCACAGTTGCCTATAAATAGGTCTGCGCATGCGCAGAACATTAAAAATGTCAAAAAAAACATGCCACAGCAACTGGGGAACTGGTTCGGGGGTGTGGCGAGCCTGCCGTCCTTACTGGTTCGGTGACCCAGTTGCAATTTCCACTACCAGTTCGCCCAAACCAGTACAAACCGTTAGCAACCCACCTCTGTTTTGGATCATTAGACAGCCTTTCTTTAGATTCACTTTTAAGTTACACTTTCCACAAACATATTTAAGTTGACAAAATCAATGTAGCCAGTATGACGATTCTGCTTGGACTTTCTTCCCATAATTCTCGTGTGAACCTCATTCTCTTGCACCTCAACTTTGTGTGAAGCAGCTGGTACTATTCTTCAGTGGTTGTACTGGGATGAAGCTTTCTCCAATCAGGTGCCCTCCAATTTGTTTGACTCCAATTCCTACCAGCTCCAACCATCCCTGGGGGAAAATGTGATGTTTTACTTCTCATCCAAGAAGCTTCTTCAGCTCTGAAGAAGCTTCTTGGATGAGAAGCGAAATGTCTTCAGAAAAAAAAATAGAAAGTCCAGTTGCCTCCTGAAAAACCACCTTTGGGACATGCAGAGTAATAGTGTGTGAATATACACCACATATACAGATGATCACAGAAGCTGATTTAAGGGAATTAAGAAGTTATTTATGCTTACTATCCAATGTCTAAGTCTGGAAGGTAAGTATATTTGCTTCCTATGATTGCTTAGTTTCTAAAATGGAGAAAGATGAACAGTGGAAACAGATGAGGATATTAGCCAGCATGGATTCTTAGTTATAAAATACTTACTGCTTGCCCTGGCGGTAGCTGCTGTGGTACAGTCATTCCTCCACCAACTATAGGCAATGTTTGCATTGTGGATAATATTCCTAGGAGAGTAGAAAGCTGCATGGCAAATGGATTAGAACATGGTTAGAAAGAAATACAGAAAGAAAGAAAGAAAGCAGCTTCCTTTGCATTGGGTGACACGATTAAAATCTTCAACTAAAATATTTTTGTTTCTTTCTAGTGTCAAATATAGCACAAAAAAAGGACAACAGTTTTACCACCATCATCAGGGCTGCCGAGAGGATTATTAAGTGCTGGAACAAGACTAATATGGCCCCCCCTCACCTACACATGGACACATAAATCAATAATGTCATAATTGTACTGTAGCGAAGCCTAGAAGGCCCAAAACGGAGTGCAGGGGAGATGCGCAACCATAAAGGTTATGTCAAACAAGGTTGCAAGGCACTTTTGCTATGCACACAAAGTATAGAGTATGAAGTATATATCCAATATTTGGTTTTGTAAAAACTTAAAAAAAAATTCCTCTTCATGGACCCCCTTTGAGCTCCATGGCCCTGGAACAATGTACCAGCTACACCCCCCTCTCCTCAGGCCTGACCATCATCCTGAGCAAGATGTGTAGGGCTTCCCACTCATGCATGATGTTTCAACTGTCAGGCAAAGTGTCAGGATTTTGGCACCAAAGTTAGCCCTTTGGCTATTCTGCAACTTCTGAAGACTTACATATTCTACCAACAAAACAAGGCAAGATTCCTGTGATCTTCCAGATGTTATTAGATTCACATTCTAACCATCCCTGACAATAAATCCTGGAGGTTGGAGATGGGGGCTCTTGGGGTACAGCTGGGAAAAAACTGCTACTTGCATGAAAGCGTGGCTTAAGAGCCATTTAGTACTATTAGTACCCTTTAGTTGGGTACTAAATGGGAAACTACAAAAGCCCCCTCTCTGAATTCATTTATATTTTCTCATTTGGCTGGCTCATTTAAAAAGTCCTCTTTTTTTTGCCCTGGCAAGGCAATTATTTTAATCCACCTGGATCTTGGGAATGAATTCCAGTTGGGTTTCTAACATCATGGCTTCTCTTTTAACTACTTTTTTCAAGTCCTGTGGAAATATATCACTTCCAGTGTTCTGCTTGCATTTTCATTATCATTGCCTTTGTTATATCAGAATCCCCCCCTTCTATGTTAACAGGATTTAATGATTGATTTTTCCCCTTATTATCATTCATCGATTGATTATATGCTATCAAGTCAATGTTGACGCTTAGCAACCACATCAATAGATCTTCTCCTGGAGGATTTGTCCCCAACCTGGTACTTCAGGCCTTTTAGAAGCATTATAATCTATTGTATTATTAAATTTTACATTATTAAAATTATTATGAAACCAAACCTTATAGATTCTAAAGTAATAGAACTGGAAGGATCTCGCATAAAAATTCATTCTGAATGCCACCTGAGATGCAGTTTTACAAATAGGGCATAACCACAAAGGCATCCTTTTGTCTTCTCTAAGAAGGCAAGAGGCTTAATGTGAGAAGAAATATCACATTGTTTCTTGCTTCTTTTGAATTTTATTTACTGTTTTTATGCTTTTGATATTTTATTGTACACCACACAGAGATGGGCGGTTCTTAAATATGATACCATAGATCAGACCTGCGTGCCAGATGCGTCATGCCCATGCCTGGTTTAGTGAAGGGGGGGGAGTCTGATACATCATGTGATGACACATGACGATGTGAGTTTGACACCCCTACTGTAGAGAGGTGTTAGGTAGCTAAACAGAAAGACAAACAGACAGAATGTTTCTAGGCAGCTTGGTCCCAAACCTTTGCAAATAATAATCCTTTCAATTGTCTCTGAGAAGCAGTGCAGATACAAAACAGAATCATACATTCCACAGAGTGGAAATCCAATATTACTTGGATTTCCAAAGATGACAGTGGGGAAAATAGTTCCCTTATTCAAACCTCTCCTCTTTATTGAAAATCCATTACATGCTGCCTATAAGAAGGATCCTATTCAAAAAAAGACTCCACAGGTTGCACAATACATACTGTCTGAGCTGTCATAAATGCTGAAGAGATTCTCCATCATTTTGTACTAATTGCCATTCTCTGCAGTCACAATTGCTGGCTAAGTACTACTCAGAGCATCTACTGTTAGATATTGCTAAAGACTCTTCTCTGCTTGTGGCATTCAGTTTTTCTTCAAGAAGTGATCCCATCCTGATTTTCTGGCTGAGAGTTTTAGTTCTTTGATTTGCAGAAGCAGTAAGAAACCAGCAGCATCCTGCAATCTTCCAAAATGAATTTCTCTAGTAGGTGGATGCATGAAACTGGGTGAATTTAGAACCAGCCCTCTCAGACAAGTTTGGAGAATTTTGCTAATATTGAAAAGATAGAAAAACATTCTGATTTTTTAAAAAAAGATACTGAAAGCAGAATGCTCAGGAATTTTTACTTTCCTCTCCTCTCCTTTCCCTACCTCTACTTCTATCTCTACCTCTACCCTTCCCCTTCAGCTCACTCATGACAAACTTGATATAAAAAGTCTATATCATAGGGAACAGCAATGAAATCCACTTATCTTTGCTACCCGTTTGGTAGCAATATGAGCATGCGTGCGCAGAGCATGCCTGCAAAGGTAAGCAAACAGCAAGGGGAGGAATCCGCTTTGCCACGCAATTTATGTTAATATAAATTGCACGTCACAGCTGATCGTCAGAAAAACCAATTCATCCAAACCGGTAGCATTTTTTTTACTACCGGTTCAGGCGAATGGGTAGCATTTTTAGTACCGGTTTGGGTGAACCCATCTGAACTGGTAGCATTTAACCCCTGATGGAGAAGTAACATTCTCACGGAGAAATAAAAATGGCTGAACCATTGCCAAGAAAAACTATATGTAGGGCTATCAGATCTGGGTTACGCAAATCTATATGACCATTAGCAGCACAAATTTATTCTTTGCTGCCATCCAGTTTGTTGGGATCTTTGCAGCCCAGATCTGCTAGTTATCTGATCTGTAAAACAAAACATATACAATGGTACACTTGCTTAGTGCAGAAAATAACTTACGTAATTCATATCTATCGGGAACACCTGATTCTGTGGTAGGCTGATGACAGGAAAGTTCTGTAATACAAAGAATGTATGGGTTTTTAAAACTGATTCTTGTGAGAGTTTTAATGCAATTCTGTGCATGGCTATTCAGTTCAATTGGAATTGCTTCTAGCAACCTGATCCTGAAGGCATAAAAAAATAATTGCTAGATCTGGCATTAGTGCAACAGTTCTTCATACTTTGCACTTTAATGTTCAGGGACAGAGAGCATATCTGCAGAGTAATATCTGGGAAATGAATGAGAGATAGTTTTTCACAAAATGATTTTAATCCTTCATCATAATCAGACTGCTGAAAGTTAGCTGCCTACTAAGAAATATAATTATTTGCAGATCTTGTGCTTGAGCATACCATGCACATATACACTTAAGCTTGGAGGACAGCATCTTTTGATAGAAAATTATTTATAATATTTGTAGAATATTAATGGAAAATTTTTAAAACCCTTTGCCTTGTGATCAGCGGTGAAATCATCTGAAGTCTGCTACCGGTTTGGTAAATCTGCTACCGAGCAAGTGCTTTGTGCACACATGTGCAAAACACGTGCACTAAAAAAGGAACATTTTAAAGCCTTCTGAGTCTGCAAAGATAAGTAGAACAATGCGGGGGGGGGGGAATCTTCTGTGCCACGCAATTTAGATTAGCTACAGAGTAGGAAATCCGACGATTCTAGCTAATCTAAATTGCATGTCACAGCTGATCATAGGAAATACCGGTTCGCTCGAACTGGTAGGATTTCACCCCTGCTTGTTGTGGCGAATAAAATATGAGGAATTGCCACTGACGTTACCATTCTTATATTCAGAGCCTCCCCTTTGTATAGCAGAAAGGGAGAAAACTGATACACTTGATCAGTTTTGTCAACTATTTTTAATCCAGTTCATTTTTTTCTGCTGTCAATTTAACAAAACTGATAGCAGTAAGAAGACAGAAGAAAGAAATCTTTAACTGTTTCCCTCAGCTTCCTTCTCTGGTGTAGGCAGCTGGGATCTCTCTATGCATTCAATACTCTAGTTGTTCCAGCTAATCTTTTTTTATTCAGACCAAAATCAATGGAAACTCTATGATGTGTGTGTGTGTGTCAAAGGTAACATGCACCTTTTGGGTGACATGCCTGCATTCACTAACACCTGACAGCAATTATTCTTGAAAGCATGCCCTATTCTTACACAATTTTCAGAGCCTGTAGGAGAATGGGGTGCGCCCCCATATAGCCTCTGGAGGCTCTGAAAATCATATGAAAATAGCCTGTGTTTTCCACAGTTTTTGGAGACTGCACAGGCCGTGGAAGATCATTCTCCAAAGCCCTTGAAGAATAAAGGCCTCATGCAACCCAGAGAAGGCTAGGGTAGGCCATAAAGGGCATGTCCACAGGAAAACAACACAGCCTGGAATAGTAAGCATTGCATTGCAGATGCTGGGCAAGGATTGTCCCTGAACCACAGGACAATTCTGCCTTGGGGAATGGTGTGAGGTGGTCTTTTTGAGTGGCAGTGGTGCTAGGGTTGAAGACAAGACTTCGGCATCTATATATGGTCCAGCCTCTACATTCCCACCAAATGCAGGGTGGCCTAGATTGGGAAAATTTTAAAAGAATGTTTCTCTTTTATTTGACAGGATCTATGTGACACACCAACAGAATCAAATTAGGCATTTTGGGGATTTTTCTCATGCCAAACCCCAAAGTTTCATTTATCAATGGTCAATGGAGTTCTGAATTCCTAGGTTTCAGTCCACTTCTAACTAAGAAGAGGATTTTAGTTGGGTGGAGCCCAGATAGCAGCCAATGGATGCTGAGTTTTGGTTTTCTCTTTCAGTGCTATTCAAAAGATAATGAACTTTTTTTTTTCAGCTTACCATATTTGGAGGCTGATTTCCTGGTAGGTTTGGATCTGGAACCAGCTTTGCTGGAGGCAGTACAGCTCTTTGCCGAGACTTCAATTTGAAAGGAATGAATACTTTTATTTGTTACATTTATACTTTGTCTTCAGCACCTAAAGAAATATGCATTGCACTTCCTTTTCTAGTTTTATCCCCTCATCAATAACCTTGTCAGGAAAGTTGGATTCAGAGATGGTGAAATTACCGATGGAAATTCCCCAAATTACCGATGGAAATTCCCAAAATTACCGATGGAAATTCCCAAAATTACCGATGGAAATCCCCAAAATTACCGATGGAAATTCCCAAAATTACCGATGGAAATTCCCAAAATTACCGATGGAAAT